TTTCTTTTCTTTCTTTTTTTTTTTTTCCTAGGGGTAGGAATTTATTCAGGCCACTTTCTGAACATTTTCCATTCACTTCAAGCTTTAAAAAAAAAAAAAAAAAAAAAAAAAAAAAAAAGCAAAAGCATTCACTTTTCCAGGGAGAGCACGTACCAAAAAAATAGAAAGCAAAATATTTTTGTCTGGTGATGAATCCTCATCCCACCTCCAGACAAGCTGCTTCTTTTCTGCCTCACTTTCTTCCCCAGTAAAATTTCCATTATTATTTTGTAGCCTAAAACTGAGCAGAGAAAGGGGAAAAAAAAAAAGCTCTCAGCATCCTTTGAGAATTTCATATAATCACAGGGCTCCAGGAACTGGAAACTTAAAAAGAGAAAAAAAATAAAATAAAAAACACTGCAAATCACACAGGACTCAGCATAAAATTGTCGAAGTTGGCAGCACCATACAAATCTATGGTATTGTGGGTTGGATTTATGGGCAAGAATCCTGAGGCTTTGGACTGTTTTCTTCGCCCAGCCCAGAGGCACAGGGCTGTTTTCTGTCTGGGGCGGTGGGAAAGGCCTCACAGTGCCTCTGCCCCACTCAGGTGGCCTCACCCCCAGCAGGAACCTCACTGTGTCAGGCTGCCAGGACCTGCAAGTTCCACATGAAAAGTCAGCTCCTGCTAACAGCCCTTGTCCTTGCTGCCCAAAGTTGAAACAAGCTGATAGGGGCAAACAAAGAGGTCTCTATTAGCCTGCTCAGGGCATCTGCAGCTTCCCTAGGTAAAAACGACGGTGACTGCAGAGTGGTTTAGCCCAGGCAGGCAGCTGCAAAAACAGCGTCTGTGACCACAGCCTGCACATTGGCGTTCACTCCTTAAAAGATGTTTTGAGCAGAGGTTGAGTTTCTCTCTCTCTTCCTCTGGTTGAAGGAATTGCACAGCCTGCATTTATTTATTATGGTTCATACAGAAAGCTCTGTTTTTCTGCCTAGGAATGTTTCATGGCTGCTTTTCACGCTGCCAAGGCAGCCTGAAGGCCATTACCCCAACATGGGGATGGGCCACCACCACCTTCTGCAGCCATCACATCACTCTCAGTGACCAGGGCCCTCCTCTCTTGGGGACACCATTCACACTCTGGGTACTTTGCCAGGAAGAGGCTCCAGCAAGTCCAGATCTCCAGGGCTCTTCAGAGAATCATAGAATCATTAAGGTTGGAAAAGACCACTAAGATCATCTCATCCAACCAGCAGCTCATCACCACTATGCCCACTAAACCTTATGGCCATATTCCACCCTTTCTGTCCCCGAGCCCATGGCAGAGGTACCCTCAGTAGTGCTTATGGCAAAACCACAAGGTAGCGAAGCCACAAGGCAGCTCTGAAGACTGTTTGATGACAGCTGGAACTTGTAGGCAAAAAGGGAATTCTGGAACCATAGAATCATAGAATGGCTTGGATGGGAAGGGACCTTAAGGATCATCAAGTTCCACCCTGCCTGCAAGAAGTTGCCTTGTGATGGCTATGTACACTCCCCCATACCACACTAGGATGTTGATACCCAAGTTTCAGTGTTGCTGAATTGTCAGCTTAGTTCTGGTTAGAGTTTAATTCTTTCAATGACATCCACTTGCATGTAATTTCTCCCTAGCTTGTGTATCATCACTGCCATGATTCTGCTGAGGAGTAAGTCCTTAAGAAGAGAAACGAGGATAAATCCCTTCAGCTGATGAGCTGGGAAGACATACAGATCATTTCTCCAGGCCCAGCACAGGAAAGGCATGTTCACACCCAGGCTGGGACTCACCACAGCCCTTTCAGGAGTCACTTTTTTTCTTTCACACAGTGTCACCATTGCAGCCCTACTCATGCAGATTGAATAGCAGGCTGTGCTCTTGTGGTGCCACTGTTCCATGCTAAAGCCCAGCAGTGTCGTACTGAGCTTCACCCAGTAACAAACTCAAGAGGAGCAGAAAGCAGGACTGTGTCCTCCCACCCACCCCAGATTTCTGGTTTTGCCAATGTGATTGTTCCCATGGATGGCCCCTTGCTCCTCATACCCACACAGCTCCCTGAAGAGCCAAAAAGGTAACTCGAGGGATGTGGAGGAAGTTAGTAAAACTGAAAGCTTTTCCTTCAGTTTGAGAAATATTTTACCATATGGGTTTAGTTTCCTTAGTATTCTTTGAGATACATGGTACAGATTTCTGGTAAGACCTCTCTCCTTACTGTGTAACCACTGGCCATTTAATTACATGTAAATTGCCATAAAGTGATAAGATGATTACATGATTAGCAGTGGGATGATAAAGCCTGGAAAGTACAGTGTAATTGACAGCTAAATATGGTGCATGTTTTATTCCTTAACTCAAAATTCAATTTACTCCATCATTAATCTTGGGTAACTGCAAATTCTGGAGGAACAGCTCGTGATTTACGGAGCAAGGCAACATTTGAGCAGTTCCCTGAGGGTGGCCCCATGGAGACAAGCAGTTCTGTGTGTAGCTCCAGATCCCAGCCATGCCCACAGACTATACAATACTTGCATCTCCTGCCGCTGCCCAGCGCAAGTTCCCACAGGGGCACAGCATTGCTTATTGAGCGTGCATGCCCCATCAACACCAACATGTGGCACTCACTTCTTGCATGCAGAAGGCAGTGAAAGCAGAGAGCAGACAGAGGTGCACTGCAGCCTTCACCAGGGTAGCCCCAATGGATGCCATTCCCCATGTCCTGCCTGCAGTGAGGCTGGCTGGGTGGGATCACTGTCTGTCCCTGCTCACATTCTGCCCCTCAGCAAGGTGTCTCCAGTACCTGGCCAACACTCCTGCTGGTATGGGCACAGCTGGACCTCTTGTGTGCAGCCTTATTTCAGTGCAATCTCTTTCTCTGACTCTTATCTCATCTTTCTCCCATTTGTGAAGTACACAGCAACCACCCCGTCTTTGCTGAAGTTGGGAGGCAGCCCCACGCCTCCCCCAGGCCAGATATCCCCACCTGCAAGGGAAGAGGCTCAGCTCCACCTCCATAAGGTCCACACGCCCAGCTGGGTTTCCAAGGCTGCTCCTAATCTTCTTTGCGTGGAAAGCAACCCTGAGAGCCTTAAGGCTGACAAGGAGAGATTGTTGGGTGGGAAGGGCCCAGAGACCCACACAGAGCTATAAAGGCAAACCACACTGCTGCCTAAAGGCATTGGGGTGGTGTAGCTGGTCCACCAGTAAGAAAGGAAAATCAAACTTCTGGGTATCAAGCAAAAAGAATAGGGAAAAAAAAAAAAAAAAGAAAGAAAGAAAAAAGAAAAAAAAAAAAGGTGGTAGGTCCCTTGTACTTTGTAGCATGTGGTGTTTATTAGATATAAACTTCCACAAAAGAATAGCAAAGCATAGCTAAGTCAGGATGCACGGTGAGGGTATCTGTCTGGGTCCCTCCTGCACGCACACACGCATTCCTGCGCACTCACACCCATGTTTCTACTTTGCTGACACAGGTATAGCTTTGGTGGTTAGAATTACTTTTAATAAAAAATATATATAAATTATATAGAGTGTGGGAACAGCTTGGAAGAGGAAAAAGAAGAAAAAGAAGAGAAAGCAAAATTCAGTTTCTATAAACTGAACACTATGTGTCAGCTTTGCTGGCTTTGTAACACAGGAGGACTTACTCCAACCTCCATAAATAAACAGTACCAGGAAATATGACACTTGAAGAGCCCTGCACAGACATTACATGAATTTGCTCTTCCTATTCTTCTTGCCTCCCCCCCCCCCCCCCGCCTCCCAATGTCCATTTTCTGCTTTGTTAAAATACACGCACTCAATAGCTCAGCATACCCAGCCATGTATCTTTTTTTTTTTTTTTTTTTTGTGAGAGAGAGAGAGAGGATGAAAAAGAATTTTTGATAAAATAATCATGGTTATCGATTTTCCAAATGCCGTTTCTCCTCTCTCTGCCTGCACACTCTCCTTCCCTGCTTCCCTTCCTCCCATTCCATGAGCTGCAGAGCACCAGCAGCAATCAGGCAGTGGGCCCTTCCAAATGGGAAATACCCCCTGTTTGTGGGGCAGCTGGTGGGCTGAGAGACTGGGAGATGGGAGATGGGAGATGATGGGGAAGGTGAGAGGGATGAGGGATTGGCAGCGGTGGGAAGGTGCTGCTCATTGGCTGTGTGTTAGGGATGTGATGTTTTGGGGGAGTGGGGTCCCACTCACAGTAAATCACCTGGGCGAGGTAGGTGAGGTAGGTGCCTGGCTTTCTTATTTTCTTATTTCAAAGCACATTTTTGCCATCAAAGAGTGATGATGACCATACGAATGGAAAAAAAAAAAAAGAACACCACTCTAAATTCCACCCTTGGTAAAAAAAAAAAAAGAAAAACAAAAGAAAAATAGGAAAAAAAGGCTGGTGTCTTTTTTTCTTTCTTTTTTTTCTTTTCTTTTCTTTTTTTTCTTTTTTTTTTGAGAAAATGGAAAGAAAATGTATATATATATTATTATTTATTATATAACATTGTCAACATCAACACCACAAAAAAAAAAAAAAAAAAAAAGTAACATCATAGTTGTTTTCATCCCTGCACTCTGGCCATGTTGAGAAAGGCAGCAGGAGTCACACGTCCCTTTGGGAAGGAGAGGAGCAGGGGAAGGCCGGACAGGGGAGGGCTGTGGCAGCGACACTGATGGGGGGGACGTGGGGGCTGCGCTCTGCTCCCCTGGTTTGCCTTCAGAACCAAAGCACTGGGGGGGCACATCGTGCTGTGAGTGCTCCATCTGTGCTTCCAACCGTTGGCACGGTCAGTGTCCATCCCTCTTGAGTGCTGACGGTGAACATTCGCTTAAAGGAGTCTTGCAAAACACTCTCATTTTTGTTATCGATGGTGTGTTGGATTTTTTTTCCCTTTTCTTTTTCTTATTTCCCCCTCCACTTTTATTTTATTTTATTTTATTTTATTTTATTTTATTTTATTTTATTTTATTTTATTTTATTTTATTTTTTTCCCATTTCCATCGACTGCCTCGTTAGCTGTTCTCGCTCCACTCTGGCACCATGCCCACGCCGTGCACCGAGTGGTACTGGTGGGGCGAGAGGGTTCGAGGCACACCATGGGAATAGAGGAACTCTGCGGGCTGCAAGCTGCTGGGGGGGGACTGGATGCTGGTCTGAGGTCCGCACTGCCGCACAATGGGTTGGTGAGAAACCGAGGTCTGGTGCTGGAACATGCTATGGGTGTCTCCTATCTGGGGGGACGTGTGGTTGGCCACACTGCTGAGCCGGGGCATCAGAGGCCCTGAGGTGAAGTGGGCAGAGAAATGCTGGTAGGGTAACCTGTCCATGGGTTGCATGGCAGACACTGTGCAACTGCTGTAGGATGGCACGCTGGGCCACGTGTTACAGCTGATGTCTTCCAGGCTGGGCACGGGGTCCGTGGGGGGAGCAGAGCTGGCGTACATACATGCCTGGCGTTGGGCTGATTCAGTCCTGTACGAAGTGTTCAGTCCCTGTTGCTGGGGGTAACTGGATCTGTAGAAAGGATCCTCTTCCGCTGGTGAAGTTTCCATGTAGGGCTTCTTGTAGGGATGCTCGGTGGTGGAACATTCCTCATCTGCTGGGAGAGAAAACTCCTGTTAGCAAACAACAATGCCATGCCCTCAGCTGAACCTCCCTCTCTGCAGGCTGCCAGGACCATCCTCCTTCTACCAAGGGCACAGCCCACGCAAGGCTGAGGCAGACGTGCCCTAACGACCATCTAGCTTCAGTCTCTCTGCTGCAGATGCATCTCCCAGTGCTGTCACATCCCTTCCTTGGGACTGTCCTGAACAGATCGCACTGAAGCAGCTCATCGTGCCTGCTGGGCTGGGGAGGGAGGGATTAGCTGGGAGCTCTGGGAGGAGAAGCAATGCTATAAGATGCAGAAGGGATCTTGAGAAGTATTATTTCTGGTGATACCCCATGACACCAAACTCATCTCTGTTGGCTGCCAGCACATCACAGCACTCTAATAGACATCCCCATTCTCAGAGCTGATGCTGTTAATTAAAAGCTTATACAAATATACACTTCTGTGATAAGTGAAACAATAAAAATTCTACTGTGAGAGCACCAGCTATGACAGAGGTGAGGCAATCAGATTGAACAGCCCCAGCCTTCAGCTGTGCCAAGGGGCACATAAATCCATGCAGGGCTGCGTGCTGGGGCCAAGCAAAATGAAAAAGTGAATTTTTCTCCAAACAAGGCACAGCTTGCAGAGCCCTTTGTTTCCTGCAGCATCTCTGTGCCAACAGCAGGAAGGAGATAAACAATGTAGGTGAAATCACTAGAGGGAGTAAAATGAATAAATGAATATGCACTTATTTATTCATTCACAGGGTCATCAAATGAAATCCAGCTCTGCTGGAATGGATGGCAGAGTTCCCAGGAACAAGAGCTTCACTGAGAGATTTTAAGGTCAGTGAGGAAAGGAAGGGAGAGCTTATTCTGACCCATGTTAGCTTGGTGCTCCTGCTCTAAGAGCAGGATTCCCGGTGCAAGCAGAATATGGCACTCCATCTAAAGGCATAACATTGGAAAGAATACCACCAAGAATTAACCCTTACTACTGTAAGCAGCCATATATTCCTCTTGGAAGCTGCACCCGCTCTGCTTGTAATATAACCCATCACCTCACTCAGGTGCCCGCCCAGTGCAGCCAGCACATATAGGCACCAAAGGGCAGGAGAGCCACATATTGAAACAGCACCTTTGGCACAGCCAAAATGGTATGTGGGTGCAGCAGTGTATCACTGCTCTCACTTCTGATTGGGTTTGTCGTATAGGTGAAGGTGATGAAAGCTGTGAGTCCTGGTTCTGAGCGTGGTCCATCAGAAAAGGAACATCTGCAGTACCAGTCGGAGTGCTAGCTTCTACACACAGCCTAAAAGCTTTGGATCCTTAACCCACCACTGAGTAATAAGAACGCTGGGGTGGAAAAACAATGTCTTGTAAAATGAAGCATTGTTCTGCTAATAAAATTTTCAGCATTAAACCGCATTACTCTGCTGGCATTAGAAGCTGCTGGCTTGGGGTTTGACTGTTTATTTTATTTTATTTTTTTAAGTATGAAGCTCAAAACAGTCAAACCCTGTTTTTCCATTGTGCTGAAGTGTGCCTGACTTACAACCTGAGGTTGCTGATTTTTCCATTGAGCCCAGACGTTCCACTCCCTGCTGCAGCACAGCCAGGCAGGGCTGCAGTCACAGGTCTGCTTCCAGAATGCATTGCAGGTGGAAAGAAGAAAACAAAACCAAACAGCACAAGAGTGGAAGCCCTACAGCTGCCTCTTCTTCTTTATGAGCTCTAGCAAGTTCTCTGCTGTCCTTTCTAGACCCATGCTCACTGATGTCAAATGTGGGAAGGACACGGCTATTCCAGTTCTTAAGGACTTTAAGGGGACTGTACCTACCTCCAAAGAGGATGTTAACAGAGGATCACAGCCCATCTTAAAAGTGCCTGCCTGCCCCCCAGCCCCTCTTCCTACTGCTTTTCCACCTCTCTCACAGTGCTAAAAGAAGAGGCATTTCCATCCTGGGCAGCTCAGAGCCAATGCCATCTGCTCCAGAGCCTGGGCATTGGATCCCCAGCCCACAATCCTCTTCCTGCAGGTTCTCTCACATCTTCAGCAGGGCATAGTGGAGAAACACCTGCTCTGCTCTGGCTTTGCTTCTTGATGCTGGTTCCCTAGCAGCCCCCCCTTGTCCTTTTCCTGGTGGCGCACCTCTGGGAGATGCTGACCATTCTCTGTGCTCATTACTGTTCTTGGAAGCCAGGGGTGGCAACCAGCTCTCGTGAGCAGCCCCTTGATACTGCACAAATCTCCAACAGCAGAAGGTTCTGCCAAGCAGGGGAAGCTGCCAGAAGTGGATCCAAGGAAAATGGAGCCTGCAGAATGCGTGGAAACTGGCTCCCTCTTAGATGATCTATCTAATGAAGGAGCTTGAATGAGAGCAAAAGCAGTTCCAAGATTTCCGGTATTTACTACTTCCAGCTGGATTGTAAATACCACACAAATGACTTTTTAAATAGAATTTTCCCAATTCCAGGATTAGACCTATTTGAAATGAAATGCAAACTTGTAAAATCTCTGGACTTCAGGGTACCTAGGGCCCACCTCTTCTCCTGGTGCAAATCCCCTGCAAAAGAGAGCTCCTTTCCAATTCATGACACTCATCTCCCTGGGATAGAGGACAATGAAGAATGGGACCCAAATGTTTCAGTTTCTAAAGCTCTCTCGCGCTTCCCAGACATTACAGTAGGTTCGTCCCAACTTTATGAGGGACAGACAATGGCTGATTATCATTAACGCTGTTGTTTTGCCCATTCTGGTTTCTCATCTGAATCTAACATGAGCGGGAACAGCCAATCACAAGGTACAAAGCCAACGAGGGCTGTCAAAGAAGAAAAGGATGGACTCAACCAAAATGTGCATCCCTAAAGGGCAAGTCATACGTCCTGGGACATGAAACCTAAAATGTGTTGTGGCCGTGGCAGTTATGTTAGCAGTCACACTGCTTGCAGTGGCTGCATTGCACTGCAGGGGAACACAACAGAAAGAGATATGGGGCAGAAAAAAAAAAAAGAAAAAAAACAGCACCAGAAGCTGGAGGCAGCAAATGGCTGGTACTGCCTGCAGAGGCACAGAAAGCATCGCCTGGTGAGGCAGTGGGGTGTCTGCATGAAGCAGCACTGGCCTCGTGAACATATCCTACCTCGGAGGCAGGCTCCTCTGCAGCCCATTGCTCCAGGCTTTGAGCTACATCTGCTGCATCCTCCCAGGCTGCAGACACCTCTGGCTGTGAGGTAGCTCGGGGCTTGACCAACTCATTGCAACTCCTAAAATGCTGGCAGTATGAGAAGGTCATCCTACAGCTGGCTTTTATTCAGCCTTGGTCCTAGAGCTTTTCCAAGAGAAAGAAATCCCATCTCCCCATGATGAGGGAGAAATCAGCTTGGTAAAAGGTCGGCCTACCCTAACAGTGCCTGTTCTTGAGGAAAAAGGAGAAAGACACTGCTGCATCTCCACCAACCTCAGCAGAACAAGAAGAAGATGAGTGATATATACTTTCCCATGGGCAGGGTCACATCCAAGCTGAGTGGATGAACGACACAGTTCTTGCTGGTTGGAGCCGGTGGATTCTGCCGCATCCCTCTTCTCCCTCAGAGTGCCAACATGACAACTTTTATAACCTCCCCTGGGAGAAGCTGTTCCAGTCGCCTCCTGTTCAGCATCACAAGCATCCCAGAAATCTGCCAAGTGGTTGGGATTGTGTAAGGCTGGGAGGGAGCAGAGGTTTAGAGGGATGACTTTTTAGTTCACAGGAAGTCTGAGAGAGAGGATAACACAAGGGAAAACAAGCCCTGATGCCCTAGTTGGGATGTGGGGCTAAAATGAAGGTCAGAAAGCCAGCTGCCTTCTGGCAAGTCCTTTTGGGCTTCTCAAGCACATCAGTGAGACAGGAAGAAATGGAGAAAAACTAGAGAAAAGGCAAAGCTTTAACAGATCTTTGTTGCAACCTAAAAATCCACATCAAGAGATGAGGACACTCCTTAGGAAGACACAGTTGTAGAGTTCATCCATCCATCCCAGAGCAGTCCATGTGAAATGCCATAGGCAATCTCAGTCTGGAGCTAGGATTCAACACAGGACAATCCAAGCCTTCAGGACTGCTATTCCCTAGCATTCAGCATGTTCAAAAAGTGCTTGGAGCAGCAACCTGTCACATCATACTGGGGTCATTCCCAATGCCTTGACCCCGCGTTCCCACCCAGGCACCAGGAATTGCCACATTGGTGCTCTGGGATGTGTCCTTCCTTCCTCACCCAGAAGGGGTTCTGCTCCCTGAGACAGAGGAGCCTTCAGAGATAACATCCCTGCTGCTCTCCCCTAATGCAATTCCATATCAGATCTACAGAGTGAATCCATCTTGACTTGACAGCTAAGAACAACACTGTCAACCACAGAGTGAAATCTTGGTCTCAAGTCACCAAGAAAGGAGAAGTTGAATAAGGTGCCATTTAACTGCTCAAACAGACCCATTCTTTACCAAGCAAAAATGAAGAGTCACCCTCCTGATTAGAAGGGCTCCAAAGAAACACCATGAGATGTCAAAGCTGGATGGAGCAGTATCCAAGAGCCTATCTTAGAAAGCAGGGCTGGTATTTGCTACAGAAGATATAGACACCAACTGGTCTCAAACACAGCCAGATTGCCCTCTGCCCCTAGAAGCACTTATCCATAACCATAGCCTCATGAGAAGGAAATCATCTGCTGGAGACAAATCCTAATCTGACTGAAGAAGATCCAGTGCTTGAGGAGTTGACTGGGACTGCACACACTCCTACCTACACTTTTTCTTCACTGAAAAGACTTATTAAAATATATGCAGAGAGACTGCAGTAGGAAAGCAGGATAAGAGGAAGAGTTTGGTATTTCACTGAAGGAGAAGAGGTTGCAAGAGGAAGATAAATGTAATAGACAAGATTATTTCCCCTATTTTAATGCAGACCCTGTTCAGCGCTATAAGAAAGTGCCACGCTCAGCCTGCATTTGAGATGAAACCTTGGATCACATTCTGATTTATCTGAGAAGAATTGCTCATCCCTCAGTTTCTGTTGATGTTGTTGTTGTTTTAATTAATTTCACTTTGCAAAGCGCTGCTTGGCAGCTGACTTTGGCTCTCTGTTTCCCATTAACTTTGTGTTTCTTTCCTTTAAGCCCCATGACTGTTTTCGATTTGCTGCATGCATGGGAGGGGAAAAAGCACAGCAAGGAGAGCAGAGGCTCAGGCTCCTGAGACACACAGCTTGGGGAAGAAGGCGGTGGTATCGGACAGGACGCTGCTTCTCTTTGATTAAAGCATTTGGCGGCTTTGATAAAAGGCCTTAACTGCTTGTGCCACTCAAGCCATCGTGGAGATAATGAGGAGCCGTCGGCCCTACAGACAAGGACGCGCTTGGCCAGTCTCCTGCACTTCTGCAAGGGCCACGCAGGCCAGAAGGGGCTGGGGAGCTTATTATGGGGCAGATAGTCGTCTCTCTTGTGACAATAAGAGGAAGTGAGATAATTGAGGGATTGAGGGAAACCACCCATGGAGACACCACTTAGTGGGAATCCCAAAACTGGAAGGAAACCTCAGATGATTCCTTATCACTTTACAATGTGGAGGCAAATGATGAATTGCCCTGTGGTGCAGGAACATGCAGATTGTCTGAAGGGCCGCTGCCATTTGAGTCAGCTTGTTTTGTTCAGTTTCAGTGGAGGGAAAGAGGAACATCAAAAGCTCAGCTTCCAGGGCACCGAGGCTGGATCTCAAGCTGAGACACCAAGGGCCACGGTGACCTCTTGTCCCACTTCCAACATAGGGCTTAGTGGCAGTCCCACCATGTCCCAGCAGCTTGCACCCATCATTCTGCAGCAGGATGGAAGGAGCAAGGGTGGTACAGCTCACTCAGGCCTCAGAGGACACTCTGGAAGGGCACTGCTTTTCCTTACTCTCTACTTGGCTGCTCTCTTCCCACCACAGCTTGGATATTGGCTGTATGAGAATCAGGGTCACCCCACCAGCTGGAAGACTCAGAAAATTATGCCTCCATTTCTCACTGTTTGGCTCAGCTCCACAACATGAAAATATTAAGATTTCTCAGTGATTTTTGTTTTGCATATATACATGTATGTCCACAGATGTGATGCTACAATACTTGGAGAACTTACCAAGGGTGAGACCTCTATTTCCACTGTCCCATCTGCCAGCACTTCCTGGCATCTGCCACTTTCACCCTGAGTCTGCACTGCACATCCCAGTGCCCTGGGGTTAGGATGCTAAAAATAATGGCATGTGGCTTGCTGATAGGACCCTCCAGGGAAGCAGGAAGATATCTGCTGTAGGAAGAGGCTACTGGGCTGGAGCAGTACGTGGTGCAGCCAAATGCTGCAGTGCCTGCTGTCTCCTTTTGGCTTTTCCTTTGCACCAAGTCCAAATCCTGGAGAAAAGTGAACCGGATAGGCAGCCACAACCTCCTGCATATCCCATAACACTCTGCTGTGCAAATTCCCTATTTTTCTCTGAGGGTCTAGGCCTGATCTCATGTTTTTGCTTTCCCAGTCCTGAAACATTTCTGCATCTGGGCACACCCATTGCTCTGGGAGGGGAAGGGAGAGCCTGCAAAGTGCCTGCTCCTCCCTGAGAACAATTATCCCGCTGGTACCCCGGGCTCTTCACGCCAGGACGAGCTGAGCAGTCAGTGTAAAGCACTCACAGTGTGATCCCTCAAGCTCTGTCAAAGCAGGTCAGTCACGCCAGAGGGGAATGAACATGGATATCATGATTTTCAATCCCATGCCCCGCTCATTAGACTGAGCATTTAAGTGGAAATGCTTTCTGCATATGGACAAATGTCTTCCAGCCGTGAGACTTTTAGACAAAAACCACAAAATCCAAGCTGTCAAGGTATCTACATTCAGAGATTAACCCTGTCTGAGGGCTACAGAGTCAGATAAGTCAACTTTATCTCTGGCACCAGCTATCTTGCCAAATGTGGATTCACCATGGGTGGAAGGTGCCAGCAGCTGTTCTCAGCCCAGGGCAGAGGAAAGAATCCAGGCTCCCACTGGTGAGAAGAGTTTTCTAGACCTACTCCATGCTGCTCCCCACTTCCATTGCACAGCACTCAGCCCTTGCCCACCTTCAAGAGGCACCACAAAGCAAGCCAGAGCCTCCCATCCCACAGCAAGAGAGCACTACGAAGTAATGGGCACAGTCATGCTAAGGGAAGGGGAAAGTCACAAGAAGCAGTATTGAAGGTCTGACCTTTTCTCTTGGTGCAGTGGTAGATCTGGCTGTGCTCCTGGGAGATTGGGTAGGGGTTGGCAGGTGGCAGCAGGTCCTGGGAGGTGCTTGACACCCCGTTCTCACACTGGTACTGGGAGCCCAGGTTGGAGGAGGTGGAAAGGACCCTGGTCTCACCACTGAAGGGGCTGTGATTGGAGGACACTTTCTGTCTCACTGTGCTCCTGGGAACAACCGGGTACTCTTTACTAAAAGCAAACAAACAAACAAACAAAAAAGAAAAGCAATCAATTAATAAATAGATCAGTGAATTAATAAGTGAAGGCAGCACATTAGCATCATGGTGTTAATGAGACTTTCAGAGAAAGAGACGCCCCTCCCAGGAGACTGCAGCCCCATCACACGTTGTCACTGCAGCATTCTCTCCTCTCTTGCTCTCCTTTTGGTCTCTTTCTCTTTGTATTCTTGCCTCTTCACCACTATTATTTTACACACACATAAGATAGATGTATGAAGTCATAGCAAAATACATAAAATTTATATGTACACAATATGATGGCATTTATGAATCACTTCCGATTTATATAAAATATATGAGCATATATGTAAATAAAAACCTCATTTCTGCCAAGTTGCTTACAGGGAATCAAACTGATGTGAAGCTGGATTAAATATTTAGGTGTACTTTTTCCCTGTGTGGTTGTTGTCCCCATTCCTTTTCCCCAGGCTCCTCCAGCCTGGTTGTCCTGAATGGGGATCTCTGGACCAGAGAACAAGCTCACTCCCAGAGTGCTCAGAGAAATAAAATATCACAAGGAGCCATATGCCTGAGCAGAGCCACTCCAGGAGGGTGAACACTGGTGGAAAGTGTGGTTTGTTTCCTTGTTTTGAAATCTGGTTTGAAGCAGTGGTGCTTCACCAACAGGGGCTCCAAATCCCTCTCCTACAAGTGTGCAATGTTTTAGAGGCATTTCTCCAAGCACACTGGCAACATCTGGCAGGACAAGATTATTCCCACAGGAAAGAGTAGGGGAGCTCAGAGACCAGAGACCTCAGGTGAGGCACTAACCTCCTCTGCTTCTACAATGGCCAGGCACTTGCTGAACCCAAGGACTTGCTGGGCTCAGAGCAGTCTGAACAGGAACCCAGATCACAACACAACTTTCCTCTTTGCAGTCACAATCTCTGCAGCAAGATGGCCTGCAAGGTGCCCTGCTCACCTGCCCAAGGGTGGATCCTCCAATCCCATCTTGAACGGGCTCGCCTGGCCACATATGTATGGAGGAGGAGCCCTGAATCTCCTCTTAGGCCTTTTAGAGAGGACCTATCACAGCAACAACTCAGAACTTATTTACAAAATTTAACAATACCAATTATATAAACCTACTCTCAGCAGGGAGCTTTCATCCAAACCACTGCTGTGGTGACTGCCAGAACCATTAGCAACAGAGCTATTATAGAGGGGAAACTCACCCAGGAGCTCAAAACCAAGTGAATGTGTTTCTCATTGTGCCACAAATATTTTCCAAACCCCAGGCACTGGTGACTTGCCAAGCCTACACCAAAGGTGGGGTTCTTCCCCCACCAGCCCTGCAGTTCCTTCCCACAGCTAACCGACCGTGCAGCTTTTTGCCTAAAAGTGAATTCCAGGCTGTGCATGGTGAACAGAAAGAGAGGTGGGCTGGTAGGAATGTGGGAGGAAATGGGGACTCATTCTTCGGGTGCACAAGGCAGTAATGGGTGCCAGGAGGTGCTGTATGCTTCAGAAAACCTCTTCACCAGTGGGCAGCCAGCACCTATGTTTCCATTGCAGATTATAGCTTTGAGCTGTCTGCTTTTGCCATGCTCCACCTTCACATATGGATCTTCATGGAAACAGTACCAGCACAATGCCCAAAGCTGCCATCCTCACATTTCCCTTCTAAGGAGACAACATGCCCAAAGCTGACTCTGCTCCCTGATCAGAGACTGCTACGTGGACTGACTGATTCGTTCTTCCTCAGCTCCACCTCTCCCAGAAATCATAGAAACATAGAATCATGGAATTGCTCAGGTTGGGAAAGACCTTAGAGATCATCGAGTCCAACCACAACCTGACCATACTACCCCAACAACCCTCCTCTAAATCATGACCCTGAGCACCATGTGCAGATGGTTTTAAAACACATCCAGGGATGGTGACTCAACCACCTCCCTGGGGAGCCTATTCCAGTTATTAACCATCCTTTCTGTAAAGAAGTTTTTTCCTAAATCTCCCCTGGCACAACTTGAGGCCATTTCCCCTCATTCTGTCACCTGTCACCAGCGAGAAGAGACCAACCCCACTCCCTCTGCAATCACCTTTCAGGTATTTGAGGAGAGCAATAAGGTCTCCCCTCAGCCTCCTCTTCCCCAGACTCAGATGACAAAGTCCTCTTTGTTTCCCCAGTGGAGTGCCTATGAGCTGCCACAGAGGAGGGACACACTGTGGGCTGATGTCACACCATGCTTACTGTGACTCTTTTGGAGGACATCAAAGCTGAATGCTGTCACAGTTTCTCCCTTCTTCTGGGGTGGAGGTATTGGATGCCCTTTTGCAGGTGTTTCTTCCAATAACCTCTCACAGGAGTTCACAGGGACCTCCACTTGCATCATGCTCTTGCTGTGCAAAGCATCATATGAACACAGAGAAGCAGCCCTCACCCTGATACTGCTCACCTATAACAGTGCTTTCTCTGTCACTACAGAGAACTAATTGTTTTTTATTAGTAAGAGATATTTTCTTTCTCTAAAGGAGCTATGTGCCTTAAGCTGCAATATTTTTACCTAGCAAAGTTGGTGTCAGGGTCCCATACTCCTGTTGAGCACTAGTTCCTTTCCAACTGCTTTTCCCAGGGAAACCACAGCCTCTGTGACTGCCAGAGGAGCATGGTGCTCCATGGCATGGCAGGACATGTGCTGGAAGGAGAGCAGTTGGAAACGCCACATCTCTCTTCCCAGGAGTTAGGACAGGGACTTCTCTTCAGACAGAAATATTTCCATTTCAGTCAAACGCATCGGGTGTTATTTTTGCCCCCAAAATTAACAATTTGAGGAGTGAGAGACAGGAAACTAAATATTAAAAATATTCTCTTCCTTTCACTTTTTTCCCTACCATCAAAGACAATTCTCTCTATATTTGTACTCCTCTGTTCCTTACAAGCTCTGAGTTCTAAGAAAGATATTGCTTTGGTGCATTGTAACACTACAGTCATCTTGAAGCGTTTGTACTATTTCCAAGAACACAATACACAGTATGCATGGCTACAACTATAGATTGCCTTTTGGTCTTCAAAAATCCATCTTTTTTTTTTTTTTTTTTTCCCCAGTGAATACCTAAAAGTCACTAATCCCAGAATAGCCAGTTGCAACCCTGTTTAAATCCACAGTTTAATAGAATTAACGGTTTCATTCACTGCTGGCACACAATGCTTGTTGTGTCCAGAATTACTGCTGTCCGAAGAAAATGGCAGAGAAGTTGGAAGGACTGACTACTGTGCAAGACAGGAGGTTGTCTGCATAGTAAGAGATAGATTGCTGTTCCTGAACAAGCATGAGCTTGATTCTATATGGGATCATTAATGGACTACATTTTAGAAGGGGAAAAAAAAAAAAAAAAAATTAGAAGAACAAAAAATTTTTATTTGGGAAAGAATTTACGAGGGAAGGAGATGTCACTGATACACTTTAAGTGAGTTCAAGTTAGTGTTGATGAATGTTTGGTTACCAAAGCTTGTGTATTACGACAGCAGAGGAGGACTGGGAGGAAGCAGGAGTGCTGTGCAGGGCACTGAACGAGCTCTGCCAGGTGAGATTAGCAAACTCCTTCCCACTGTCACACCTCATGGCATCTTCCCCCTTTCCCGGCCAAATGACACCCTCACCAGGACATGAGGTCACTTATGCCACCAATTCGTATCTAGGAAGGATTCAGAGGAGGAAGTTCAAGAAGGTTTTGTAATCTTAGAGTCATAAACCCCTTTGGCCTCTGCACACTAATAAAATCTGTGGAAAATGATAAATGTATATCTTCACAGAACGGCATCCAGTTCACTTTCCTGCTAATCGCTGTGTTGCAAAAGAATAGTGAATTTTCAACATATTTTCATGTGCAGACTTGGAGTTCCCTAATTTATAAGTCAAAACAAAAAGTTAAAAATCCCTCCATACATTCAGTTTATAACTTGGAATCTTCTGTCTTGCAACATCCAGTCGCTAGTGGCCCTAAGCAGGTTCTAGTATGTTCTACTATGGCAACAAAGCAATGGGTACCAGGCTTTTCAGAGCTGTTGTATTAACAGTAACGAGGGCACAAAATAGCCATTAAGTACCAAGTCCCAAAGATCATACAATAAGAGATATTGTATGATCGAAGTCAGGATGAGACATGAGATGGAAGAGGATTTCCCCATGGTTGGTTGCTGCCATGTTTTCATAGTATCCTTTGGAGCCTCTTTGCTCAGCACCGTCTACAACTTCTTTGTGATGACAATTCCTACCCTCAAGGCTGACCTATGGTGTATCAGTGGCCAATACCAGATCCCTCTTCTCTTTTTCTAAAGCATCATAAGATTTAAGTCATCCACTCAGCACTAATGGATGCAGTGATGCAGGATCAGACCCTTATTCCAGATGTGCAAATACAACTCAAAGTTATTTGATTTTGTATTACCCAAGTTACCAATTTTTGTCCTTCCTGCTGAGATTTGAGAGTAGGAAAGAAATGAAAGTAAGCCACACAAGATATAGAGAGGAAGAGAACATAAGTGACTGCAATAAGTATAACATCTCCCAGGAAAAAAAAAAAATACCAGCAAACAATTGCCAATTGTCACTGTGCATTCATTTCAGCTTATTTCCAAAACACTGCAATAAAACCAAACCTCTCTCAGGAGACTGTCTGGAGAGACTGAGGTGGATAATCTACAGCGTGAGAGGACTTATAGGGAGGGGGACTACTGAGTACTTCCTTCAGTCTTAGCGCAGATCAAATGAGCTCTCTCTGCATGGGGACTGCAGACTAGTCCCACAGAAAATGATGCCCCGGACTGGATGTCTACTAAAATAAGTCCAAATATCCAGAGAAGTATGGAAGGCTGTTCACAGCAACAGCCTTCACCAACACATCAGACATCCTGACCTTCTCACCAGCATGTAGAGGGGCCCAACGCAGCTGTTTTGGGGGAACATCTGTGTTAGGTACCAATGCCCCTGTCACTCAGGGCAGCAC